GTTTTGAGAATAATCCAGGCCCATTTTGTTAGGGTATCATCAACAGATAATCAGAGTAAATTTCACCTTATAGTCAGAGTTTTCCATTCTAACCAGTATGCAATAAATAAATATACATACTTTATTTGGCGTTTAATATGACAATTCTGTAGCAGATTTTAAATTTAGTAAAAATTTATAAAATTCCTTCAATAAATTTTTATGTTTACTGTAAATAAAACGTTAGTTACCTTGTATACGTGGTTTGCATGAAAAATAAAAGTTTGTTTGCACTGTTATTGGTTGCGTATGAATATTTATAAAACGTGTGCGTGATTAGGTGGTTAGTGGACTACCGATTGCCAGTGGACTAAAGTCAGTGATGAGTCAGTGACAGTGATGATTGACATATGTGGAGCTGGTAGAGCAGATTTTGATTGTCAAGTATCACTACTACTGTACCGAGTACAATACGACTTCCCTTTACATCGTAAAAACTGACAACAACGTGCACTTGTGGTCTCGATACAGTAACTGACAAATATCATTTACTTATCACTTTTCACAGTGTGGTTTTTATGGTTTTTTCCTTTAAACAAATGGTCAACATTTATCAACACCACAACGCATCTGATTACATTGCATGTTGCCTTTTGGTGGTGGTTAATATATAATGTTTACGGGTGTGCGAGTGACGTTATTACAACGGTATTTATACCTTTCAATTGACATTGAGGTCATAGTTAGTAATCCTTTACCAAAACAGCCGTTATTAATATGTTGGCGGTCGTATGAAATTGCCGTAAAAACCTTGAGATACCATAAGGTAATTAAACAACAAATGTATATATCATTTTGTGTGTCAATTTTAATATTTAGTCATATGCTATTAATTATGTCAGCGAGAACTTACTAATGTTTTATTCTTATAATAAATATAAGTAATTGCAAAGTGATTGACTGTTCAGTGGCAAGGTATATGTCAGTGTCAATCAAGAATGCGTTGCTTGAAATAAAAGTTGATGATTCGAGTTAATGCGCTTAGAATACGATTAATTAAACTGAATTATATTGTGTTATCCGTATTTATTGGAATGATGGAGCATTAATTCCTGGGAATTAAATCTCAATTATTACACGAATAATCTGTGGATCCTGGATAACTTCATGTGATGTCGAGACAGATTGAAACCCATTACATCATCAGCATAGTTCAGTTAATATTAAATACAAATACAATTTGGAATCACTTTTGGAATGTAGAAAAATAACTGTCAGAATATCAACATGCTTTATTTTAAAGTTTAGCACCTTCGAACTTCATGAACACAATGGGTATTTGATACAAATTATACACTTACTTAATAATTACTGTTTCATTTTGAACCTTCGTATTTCTAAAGAGTTTATTACATTACTTTCTCAGTCTTCATAAAAGTTGAACAGTAATGAGGAGAGCATGCCTTGTTAATCTAGAAAAATGTTGAATATCGAGGCCAGTGTTTTTGCTCCCCTTCTTTCTTATTCCCATAATCATACTTATGATAATATTGCGTCAAATAATATATGTATTAGTATATTTTTCCAAATTTGTTTTTCCACATAATGCACCCATATTTTGACCACATCTAAAAATCGAGCAGTATTCATTTGTGTAATACCAGGTCATTAGCTTGAATATTTAAATGTCGGTGGAAATATACTTACGGTATTCATAGGTCACCATTATTCTTGCTGAGCAATGAAGGAGGGTCAAGAGTTTTCTTGAGGCATGGGAGGGTCACGTATCTCTGGTCACCACCTCTTTCAATTCACCCTCATGACGTCAATGTCCAGTTATCGAACATTGAATATATTATTTCTTTTATCATATCACCGTCATTAGTAACTTATTCAGTACCTTATACTTATTCTTTTATTGCGCCTATAACTCAATACTGGTGGAATTTTTATTTATTTTGAGACCACTGCAGTGTTGATTTTAAATGGATATGTATCCGTAGTTATAGTGTTTGAAAATAATTTACGCTATTAATTAAAAAAATTGACATTGTGCACTCACAGTTGTAGTGGACGCAGGACGACAGTCTAGAGACAGTGTTTGTATGTAGTTTATAGATAATATTGAACATGTGTATATCTTTCTGGATAATATTTTGGTGAAAGAGTATCCTCTCTTGGTTTTTGTGTAAAATCCGTGCAATTCTCTATTTTTCAAATCCTATTATTCTACTTGACCCTGGCATTGTTGTCAAATGAAATTCAGATTCAAACCTTTGCGTGTGCTACACAAAATGAGCCAACCTATTAGTTAGATTATAATAAGAGTAATCACATTTCATCAGTCCATTCTATTGCTAAGAGTGAAAATAAACAGTTATGGGTTCACCTTGACAACAGAGAATGGAGACAAAAGTCCAGCTAAAAGTAAAATATTACCTGTTAAACTTTGTATCATTATAACAAGTAGATATTTGTTATCATATTTATAACTGATAACGCCTTGTGAATATTGACACGGTATAACTTATCAACCAACGAGCATAAAAGGTAACAACTACAACAGTTTTAGTTATATAAGTATTAACTGTACTCGCGGTTATAACAAACATTGCACACAGGCAATTGCACTTGGTCTCAAAAAGTAGATGGGTACCCTCCTATCTAGGGGGCTATTGTTTTAGCAAACTGCAAAAAAAAGCAAAAAAAACCCAGTCACTGCACGTCCCTATTCGTGTTTGCAAATTTATACTTTACAGTGATACAGTTTCTTTAAACTGTCGACCAAACATCCAAATTCCGTACATGTAGAATCAGTCACATTTACCATCTAGTGGGGACCGTACACCACTCTTTAGACAGGCAGCGGATAGTACATATATAATGACTTGCCTAGCAGTGCACTGACTCTATAGACCCTTGAGATACGTCAACTATAAGGTGTGTGACACTTATTATTTCCACGAAGCGCTGACGTAAATTGACGAGTGTTCGAGCAATATACCAGTTTGCACCCTGTCACTTTGGTTCGTTTTGACTGGTAGATGTTGCTTTAAATTTAGTCTTCATTGAGTTGCATTATTTAAAGTAGAACGCTGGTGGTTTTATTTTTACATGTGCGCATATCTCAGCGCATATAGCAGTGACAATATATTAAAAGACAATTATCATCGCGTCAAGCATGTAGATATTTCCCCATAACCCATTGCGCTCTCTTAATATCAAGAATGAATATGCGAGATTTGATCTTTGTCTACGCGCTGAATATCAACCTGAATATTTAGAATCCTTCGAAGCCTTGGTAGTGTCTCCTTTCTCGTGTATTTGCGGCACAACGGCAACTCCCTTTAAATGATCATTCCAACCATCAAATTCAACCAATCACATATAAAGACGTTGCAAAAATGCAATGCAACTGTAATAGTAGAACAAATTTATTTATGGGATAAGTAGAGAATATTTAATGAGTGACCCATAATATTCGATTATTCAACAAGTGTATAATAGCTTTTATAGACAACTGAATACAAATTACTACATGGGTTGATAAATAGGTCATGGGCCAGGAATTTTTATTTTCTATTATCACACAAACTAATATCTCAATCGCAATGTGTATGCGCGTCCGTTCACTTGTACACAGCAACGCAGTTATTTGAACCACGTTTTGCAATTAGTTTATCGCCCCCGATTAAAAGACATATTTGCAACTTGTGCCAAAAAGTTTAAGGCAATAATATCAGCTGTCTCCTGCCAAAAACGGTCTTTGAAACAGCTGGAAGAATTAGGAACTTTCTACTTTAAACTTAAACTCTCTTTAGCGAATGTTTGAAACTAGTGGTAAATTGTGGAAGAATTGAGACTTTTTCAGATATTTTATACAATTATTACCAACATATATAATTTCTAGTAGGTAAATGAGCCATGTTTTCACGTCACAGTCTAATTACATGCCAGGACCTATAAAATGTGTGTTGTATTGAAGGCGGTGATATTGAAAATATCACATGGCTTTATGAGATCCATTTTGCACGGTACATATACATAGAAATGTAACACGCCTTGCCTCATGCACATTGTTCCAAGTATAACGTTTGTTTTCGATAGCGGGCAGTTTTCATTGATCATCCCTCTTCTACATTTACTATGACGCTATTTTTTGTCAGGTTTACAAAAAGTATTATTTCTTTGTCAGCGTTTACTTGTGAGGGAAATTCTTTGTTAAAATTCACTTTTAAGCGAATTGTTTTTCGGAACGAGATTGTTCTCACATGACCCGAGTAGAGAGTACAACTCCCTCCTGTGTAATCAAAAATCAGGCTGAAGTTGTTGCTATGCAAATTGATAAATGTTTAAAAAGATAGCGTCGCTCTGAAAAAAGCATGTTAATAAACTATACAAATTAGCTAGAATTTTTTCGGTAAAAAAAATACTATCTATTAAGAATAGTAACTCAGGAAAATTATTGACATATATTGTTTACTATTGTAATTAACCAAATGGACATTTCCAACACTCCAACGCACACATATCACCATCTACCTTATATCGAATCGTGCTAACCACTCTACCAGCTGACATCCATACATTAAATTGTACCCGTGTTTGTACGTTTTAATGACAGCATGCATACATAAACTTATACTAAATTAGTTATTTTGTTTCACACCAGAACAAAGAACTCGATGACCCATCTCAAATGTCTATGTCAAACACGACTTGTACAAAATGAGTGCACATTATTGGTGTGAAGAATTTTACTGAATAATTTACTTGCATGATATATATTCCGTACAGTGTACTAGTATGTACAAATTGTATGTTTATTTTATTTATTAGCAAGTCAAACAAAAGTTTAAATAAAGTTAGGTACAGTATAATAATCAGCGAAGGAGCAGGTGTAGTATCTTCTTAGCATTATTTATAAAACTATATGTTCAAAGGGTAATATTTTTTGTACAGATTAGGTATGCGACCACAATGTGAATGTATGACAAATTCCATCTGGTTCACAGAACGTCTTGCACCTAAAATGTGTAAATTAAAAAATAAGTACTAAGAAATCTAAATAAACGAAAACACCAAAACATTTGCGTCTGCTAGCTACCCCGTCGCCAAATCGACCATAGTAGCATGTTTTTGTCATAGTTGATCATGATTAACGGTGTATCAACCGTCGTCTAAAATCAAAGATGCTATGGTGGTCATGGATAAACAAGACCAAACTTGGTAAATGAGATGATTCATATTTTTTGCACTAATCACCATAACAGAATGCAGTGAAACATTATTATTATTATTATGTAAAAAATCGGAGTGAAATATGATCAAACATCACTAATGTGAAATTATGTGAAAATCTTAAATCATTTTATCATTCAAACTATTAAAGATTTAGTTTTTGTAAAAAGTTGGCTAATTTTTTTTATACATTTTTGAAACAAACTACATAATCATATTGAAATATGGTCAAATATTGTCAATTGCCATGTAAACAAAATTAATCATACTTCATACCATGAAGTACTGTAATGGCCAAGCCTAATTTTTCATATTTATGGAACAAAAATATAGTTTTGGCTCAGAAATGGGGTACAGTGCTTATTCCCTATATGTTCTGCATCAATCAATTTGGTATATAAAACAAATGTTGGTTACAGCTCAGTTTGTATATGATAAAAAATTAAATTACAAAATATTCGTATCTTTGTTACCACAACTCAAATTGTACTTAATAAAGGTAAGCATAAATCATTGTAATGGAAATATACATAGGTACATGTTTTGTGTGGTGGCTGGAGCAGAAGAAATTAAAAACAAATTAACATAAGACACAATGTAATGCTAGTAAAACTAGAAAAATAATATGTATGACTAAAAGTAACAATATGATTCACTGCCACTGGGTGGATGGATGTAACCGTGTTCAAATATGTTTGCCATGATATTGGTTGCCAGAAGATTCACGAGATAAAACACGTTCAAACATGTTAAAACCTTACTGAGTAAGGGCGTGGTTAACCATGGTGCCCAACCCCCGGGGTGACTTAACATGATTGAACTTGTTCTGACATACTCTCATAACACGTTGAACCACGGCAAGTAACTATGTTTGAACACA